CATCATTAATTTCTGAATTACTTACTTATTTCAATATAATTTTATAAAAACAAACTTTTTCTCAAGTAGCACAAAAAACATTTCAAAAGAAAAAGTAGTAAAGTTTAACTAACAAAACAGAATAAAACGCGTATAAATATCGTTGAAAACATGCTTTACATATTCAACGCATGGCGCATGTTTCCAAATTATTTGCACCGTTTTTTGCCCTGTTTGGCAAACCAGTAAAGAATGCAAAAAAAACACACACACACACAGCCCATTCAAGAAGCATGGCAAAAGAAGCGTTGCAAACCCGTCTTTGCTTCATTCAATTCAAATTCAAACATACTTGTGCGAGCACACACTCGAGGCGCATGTTTTTTCGCCCTCTCGTTCACCGTTCGCAATTCGACATATTTGCGCGCAGCGCGAAAACATACAAATATTGAAGCAAACTCAACAAATTCGGCCCGAAGTGCGTACCTGCGAACATTTATGAATAAAAATATGGCCCATATGTTGGGACATACTCCACAACGGATGTACCGAACCCAAACTCGGTTAGTTTTTCACATTTTCTTCGAAATTGTAGCTTGTGGAGAGTTTTCGAGAGGTGAGCGCTAGATTTTGGAAGATTACATACGCGCAGCATGTAAGATATTACTTTTTCATGCGCGAGCCTGCCGCTTTCAAACAGGTTGAGGTATAAAAATGTATTTTCTCGAATAAATAAAATATACTCATATGCTCGAGATTTTATTTATGCCGTACCGATGTAACGTATTTATAAATAATGCGCATTCGTTGGATTCCCACGAGCGCAGCCACGAGACGCTCTGGAATGTGAGATTTTGAATTTAGATATTTACGTTGACGATTTTACCCTCCAGCAAAGAAAATATCTAAAACAATTCCGAAATAGGCTTTAATCTGTTATTTTTATGCGTTTGCACTTTGTAGGCTTGAAAAGAAAGCGAAAAATTTACATTTGTACGTATTTGTGTGCAGAGACAATTTTGAACGGAGTATTTTTTTCTCTGTTTGTTTGCTCTCTGCCTTCCAGGCAGGATTTTTGGTCTCGGTGGCAGTCGCAAAGATGGCTCTAATAAAAGCGGGACGTGACGCTCATACGAACACCGTTTGAATGTTAAATCGCAACAGGTCCCCGACAATTTTCGATACATCGTTGCTCCCAGAGGGAAAAACGCCGCCATCGCGAGGGCACTGCACAGTCGGCGACATTTGCTGCACGTTTCGAATTGCGAGAGCAATAACGATAAAACATTACTGCCGGCATTACCACATAATTATAACTTCATTTTCGGCATGCGTGTGTGACGTAATTACAGTTGTTTCATTTTATTCCGAAAATGCGTCAGAGGTTATGCGGCCCACTGCTGGAATACGTTGGAGGATTTGATGGCTTATTTAATTTTCGCGTGAGGTCAAATATTGAATTTCTCTCGCGGACAGTTTTCGAAATTGAATATTTTTATTGACCATTAAACCTGGTTTACGAGCGATCCCAGGGCGCAGCACCACAAACGTGTAAACCTTCGTATGCCATGTAAAATTCATAATTCATCGACTTGTAGAGTTCAAAACTGCATGAATATCGTTTATTCGTGTGTCTCTGAGTTTCAGCAAATTGGCATCAGTGTCTTCGATTACTTTCGCGACAAGAACACAAAATGACAGGCGGGTGGCGGTGGTTGGTGGGCAATAAGTTGATTTATTTAGCAGGACCCGGGCCGCATACACGCACTCGTCGAGCGCGAGATCGATTCGTCTACTTAAACATTCATGTTCCACCGGTTGATATTTCGAGCGCGAGCGCGTGGAATCCTTTTTAGGGAAAGCGGCGTGCATCTTTTATGCCCGCCCGCCGGCGTGAATATTGCATGCCGAGATTTCCCGGTAAAACGCGGCGAACGCATCGAGGGACTGTCGCTGCTCGACTTCTTACCCTTTTCATACTTGATTTTTGTTTCCATGTCGTCATCGGCGGCGGCGGCGGCATCGTGCGTGTTACGTAAAATGTGCGCAACCCAATTTACTAATCTTTCTTTAACGGCCTCGATTTTTGCCGCGCTGCGTATTTCTACAAAGTGTAAAAAAAACATAACCGCAATTTTCTCATCTCATCAAGAGCGTGAATAAAGGATAACAAATGCAAATAAAGTCCACTCGATTCTGCATCATTCGCACAACAAATGCAGCCTAATAAAGAAGCCGTCGGCGCGGCGCTGAGCAACAACAATACTTCTTTATCTGCATTTTATTAAACAATGAAGATGAGAGCTCGTTCGCGGCTTATCGCCAACTTGTTTGGACGCAATCTTTACGATGCGCCCGTCGCAAAAACAATGGCCAAGTTTTAATTATCCGCGCACGGCGTGAACTTTCCGATACGCCGACACGCAAAACCTATAACAAACTTTAATTGTTATGCATATTAAACTATAACAATAGCTACGAACTTGACGTGCCCGGCGTTCATACCGCGCGGGTTAAAATTATATTTTACTCTAGAGCATAATTCACCGACTAAATTACAATATTTTAAATATTTTTCTCGAAAACAAAAACAACAGCTTAACTGAGGTTATGTTATGAGGTGTTACGTAATGGCCTTGTAAGATATTAAACACGACAGCGCGCTAGAAAACTCTCATTCTCTACGATTTGCTTTCGAGAGGTGTTTCATCGCGGCGTAATATTTTCTACTTTTCTCGCTGTCGGAGGGCACCAGCAGCAACAACGGCCGCATCAGCGGGATTGTTTGCCGCGGAGCTTAGCGCAAGTTAACGCAACTTTATGTCGGCGCGACCGCACCGCAATTTACGAGTATTTGTATTTATATTTATCATTGCGTTATCTTTCATCGTTATATCGCTCACCGCGGCGCGCACGACAAATTACCAATTACGTGCTGTGTTTTATTCGCACCAACCGCACAAATTCACACAAATCAAACGCAATATTTTGTTAACCAAGTGAAACTCTATAACTAATCACATGTATGGAATTCAAAACGATTTTTTTGAACATCTAAATAATTAATCAATCGTTTCCACGAATGTTCACATATTGGAGAGCAGGAGGTACGCACAGTGCGGATAATTGATACGAACTATATCGGTTGGCCATTAACAATCGGGTACGGGCGATACACGATATTCGTATCCGGCAGGATATATTATTCATTTCGGCCCTAGTTGCTTACTTAGCGTACATGAGAGGTAATGACACACCAGACGCGCTCCGATCAGCGAGCAATCACGCGTGCCGGTTACCTAACCTCACATACACACATAACCACACATGTAGTCTATAGATATATGACATAAGCACATTAAAGGTTGTTGTTTTTTTTTTAGTGTATTTGATCGTGGATACTCGGCGCGTTCTCAATTTACTTGCGCGTCGCCATGCAAGTGGTAAAAGGAAGCGGAAGAGTGGGCATTTCCGCGTGGCGAAATGAAAGAGCACTTCAATAATGTGCTGACTAAGAATCACGATACCACTTTGAGCGCGAGCACGAGCGCCCGCGCGCGGCTGCTTGCAATGGTAAAAAGGAAAGAAGTTGCTCGAGGAGAGGATTTACGGCGAGCTCGCACGTAAGTCGCCGCCGCCGCCGTATCTTTCCGGCGACCGGTGGCCGCGGAGCAAATCTCGCACGCGTACCTGTCGTATATTTTGCGCACCGGGGGCTTCTTTAATGAACTTTTACGTTGTAATGTAAAAGTTTTACGTTTTTCGGTAGTAGCATGCATTAAGCACGCAAAACACCCCCTTACGTCCTTGACATTATTCGACGAACTTTGCATTTGGGTATTATTTTTACATTTGCTGCCCCACAACATGTCACACTCATCCTAACGAATGTTGCGTGAAATTTTATTCCATAAATAAACTAGAGGTTTCACCGTTGAACCTCTGCATTTGCTGTCGATCGAAGAATAAAAAGGTGGGTGTAATAACGATTGCTGACGACGAACAGCCAATAAAGAACAAAACAAACATAGAACGCGAATCACGAAATCGGTAAATATTTTCTAAGCGCTAATAAAAAAGTGCAAATCAAAGGGGTTTAAAATGACTTATTGCGAAAATTGTTCGCATAAAAAAAAAGTTCATTCCTGTAGAATAACATGTTAGACATTCAATTTTATTTATGACGATGTGCGATAACGATTTCCCATTCTTATTTTATATTTATATTTATTGCCCCGTTCGGTTCGGCATAATCATATAAAAGCGGAAATTTATCGCGCAATTATTGCTGCGATTTTCGACGTTTCACCAGAGTTTCGACCCCCTTTGGGGACGCTACTGTGTTCGCGTCGCGTCGCTGAGGCGGCAAATTTACTGCCAGCCCTAGTGCGAGCGATTTAAAATTTTCGCAATAACGCAATGCAAATGTGCCGGAAAAATTAATACTCCTATTGTGTACAACACGAACTAAATCGATAAATAATATCTCTGCTTAGTTTCTATCCTGGCAGATAATAATTTATTTACCAAAACACAAAAAATATACGTTATGGTACATTAAATTTTGGAAAATTTTTGTTGAGCAACGTTTTATGTGCAGTCATTCTTTTACTGGTGATTTATTTCAAAAAGAATCTTTCGCTTCGAAGAATATCAACAAGTTCACAGTTCAAGGTCCGCTGATAATAGCAAGACGATAATAAATTTAAAATAAAAATTAACCCGTTGCATTTACGCTGGTTTTGCGTAAGATTTGAATGAAAGGTCGTTTAAATATAGCTGGTAATAAGTTTGCCGATGCGTTTCCGATTCGCACATGCCACACACACATACAAATATCGAAGTACAGTAGCGCACACGCTATCATGGAAAAAAATCCGGCCGTTCATTAAAGTTGCACACGCGAGCTACACGTCTTGCTCAACAAGCTGATTGCGGATGACCCTCGAGAACGACGCTTTTCTGCACACGCCACGAGTGGCGTGGCGCGGCGCGTTGCGTGCACACCGCTCACCCTCTAGAATGTGCACCGCCCGACCGCCAACCGCCCCCGGGGGTGGTCGATACGTGTCGCACGGTGTCCCCTTTTCGCGCGACACACACCGCGAGGTGTGCATGTGAAGTGCGAACGCGGTAGCCACAAGTGGTCATTGAGAGCTGCAAGCCTTGCAGGGTGCGCTCCAACACACATTTACATAAAACAAAAGCTGGGACGAAGTACAGCAAACGAACAAAAAATGTAAAAGAAGATGCAGGAAGTACAAGCGTTGCATGCTTGAGTAATGATAAATCCAGTAATTGATAACATTAATTCTAATCTTGACCCAATATGCGTTTGTTTTGTAATATCAACAATAATATACATATTTCGCAATTTATCGCATATGCACATTGCTCGGAAAAAATAACAGCAACTATGTATTTAATGCGAATTCGAAAATCATAGTGTGCTATTACTTGCTAGAACGTCGTCCAAAATGGTAAATATAGAACTATTTAATTACTCAATCATTTATTTTTTTACAATTCTATTTATAGAGAGTTGCATGGTTGTTGCTGGGCTCGTTGCTGACCATCACGTCCGCATACCCCCATTACCAACAACAATGTCAAAACAGTTGTGTGTGTTGTTCTCCACCAGTTGTACACAGTTACAGCCACAAATGTTGTACAAGTCATTGTAATACCAACTGTAATACCACCACAACAACAACAACAACAGTACCTCCTAGCATATCACAGCCAAACCAGAGTGGGACATCTTCACATACGTCTTCACACTCGTCCAATAATAACATTCAAAACTCTTTGGATTCAGAAATTACTATACCCATCGACATAGTCAATACTGTGAATAATGAAAATCGAATTCATGTACCAGTCACGGTTGATTCGACAAATGTTAACAATGTACATGTAAGAATAATAGCACCAACACCTACAAAAATTACACCTGAAAAACCTCCACCACCAAAACCCAGGGAAAATGAACAGAGTATTACTACAACAACAACAACAACAACAACAACATCAACGGAAAAGCCATACCAGCATCCAAAAATTATATATGTACACCGACCAATGTATTATCCGCAACCGCAATGTTGTGTGATTGTTCAACCATGTCTGCAACAGCACTGTCCACAAATCCAACATTGTGGGCAGGAGTGTACCAGTTCGCACGTGTACCAACCTCACAACCCTTGCTTGTACCAAAAATGCGAACGCCGCGAATATGTCCAAAGACGTGTGTGCACAGAACAATCCTGCAGTGTCCAGAGACAATCATGTTCTGGATGTTATAATAACAATTGGTATTCCACCTACCATGGATACCAACAGTGCAAAGGATGTTATCACTCCTCGTCTATGCCCTCCTCCCACTCCTCTTATAAAAAGTAAAACTATTTTCATTATATACCTATAGTTAAATATATATGTGTTCAACTTGTTCACAGTGTCTTTGAATTCAATGTGCTTTCATCCCAAACATTCCAAAACTTGGAATACATTTCGTTGATTAATTTATCAGTTGGTATAGTTGCCCCGATAGTGGCGAATGTTTCCAACTCCTTCCGGCGAATTAAAAACGACGCGCCTCGGAGCGCGTAATCAGCAGATACATCACGTCATTTAGCTAATGGCTTCCTGAATGCTAATCCTCGAAAACTCCAGAGATCGCTAATATCGCAAGAGCCAGCCAGAGGATGGTCGCCAGGAAATTTCGTACGTTTAGAGGTGATGCGCCCACACACAGAGAGAAGCGCCCCACGCTCTAATCCCTAATCCGAGGATGTGAATGTGAACGTGCGACGGAATGTCGCCGAATGTCACCGTGTGAGAAACGGATCTATTTACGGCGATTAACCGATCAAACTAAGTATAATCCGATAATTGCGTCGAGTCCAAAACGATGACGTACTTACGCGAGCCGAACTTGGGAAAGCTTTCGAAATGTGTTTTCCATGTAGGAGTTGATCTGTGTTTGAAACAAACAACAGATCAATATACGCGCGTATGCATTTACATATTACAATGTGCAGCGCAGCAGATGTTTGACCTTGGCGTGCAAACAATTGCAGCATTGTACAGTTTCTTGCTCTCCAGCTTGTTGCGCGCGAGTTTCTACCTTCTAATGACACATGATAAATAATGCACTCACTCCGTTTCGCTTTCCTGGCGCGCGCGCGACAAAAGCGTCGAGTGTCGAGTGTGCACTGTGCGACGTGCGAGAATGTGCCGCCACCACCGCCGCCTGCACTCCTAATGGAGATATTGTATGTCATATCCTCGAGTACGGTTTCATCCCGTCCCGATGTGTCTGGACGCTGTGCGAGCAGGAAGCTCCTCGAGTGCCGCGCCGCAATCTGTCAACCACTTCGGCGTGCTTCTTCAGCATGCGCGCCGTTATTGTTATCCGACGCAACACAATGCAAAATCCGGAAGAGAGACAGCACCCACACACCCACCTCCCACACTTATTCCCTTTTTTCTATGAAAGCATTCTCAGAAATAGTAAACTTGAAAATTTGAATATAATAACTTAATAAATCTGTTTTTTTTTGTATTGTTGTGTGTTGTATGATACATGCGATCATAACGAATTTCCGTTGCAGATGTTCTGTATGTATCATTGGGGGAACGCAAGGGGTCAGCTGTTGAATTCGCCAGGTGTGTGTCTGTGTGTTCACTAGGGCAGTACGGTGCAATATGGTTATCACCTAATTCGAATTAGTGAAAGTATAAGAATATGATGCAGATGCATTCTATTAATATCGGTAATTCAACAAGTATTCAAAAATGCATATGCCACTAATACTAATTAACCACCGGATATGAAATAAGGGTTGATGAACTTTTAATTTCGAACTGGAAAATTACATTCATTAATTTCAGCTGTTCTTGAAATATGAGCTGCTGAAATTGAATGTTTTGAATGTTTGCTGCGTGGAAAATGCACTTGGCCGCGTATAAATCCCACGCAAACAGAGTAATTAATGAATCAATCACCGATTTGGCGCGCTATTAATCAATCGGCGCCTCTTTATGTATCGATCGATCGTTTTTCATTTCTCTCATGCCTTAATCCCACCAGGAATCACTCTCATTTGTTATTTTACACTAGGTCACATGTATTACGTTGCTATAGCTACGACCACTAAAACCAACACTGTACGCTTCTTATATTGCAACTCAAACACTATGGTTTGATTATTTTTAGGTTAACTTGTTGCGACACACGTATACTCAGGCAAATCAAAATATAATTAACTTTTCGATCAATTGAATAAGTTAATAACGTAACGACCTCATTCATTAATTCATGAAAAAGTAATTAATTAGCGCAACGACCTCGCAGTTACCGCACACGCATACTCCACCTTACCGCCTTAGTGGCGGCTTTTTTTTATTCAAGCGGCGCCGAATTGACAACAAAAAAATCAATCAATTAATAGCCCTCTGCCGCAATCGTAATCCGTTCTTCGGCGGCGGCGGGGATAGGCTCAGCGTGTCGTTATAATTTATCGTCGCATAATAAATCACGCTAATTCGAGCGGTGGCGCGGTGTTTTTTTTGAACGCACGCGGTGGCAACAATCCTAATCGCACGCATTTATTTTTCACTCTCGTAAAACTCCATCAAAACTTTACACTTCCAAAGTATTATCCGTTTGCAATTCAGTGGAGAGTATTAAATACATATTTGTGCGTTTGCCTTAAGGTGCTCTAGCCAATCATCTATTACGTTTTTCATGTACAAGAGAAAAAGTCATAAATCAATACACCGGTTATGTGTATTTGTTTGTAAACTAGTTAATGGATAGGCCATTTAGGCAAATGGATTTTTCTAGTGGAAACACAAACAAAACAAAACAATACGCCGAGCGCAAAACACAATAAACTTCACAACTCGAAAATATCCGCATTAATTCATTTCCGAAGCAAACAGCAAAAAGCATATATGAAAATATAAAAGATTTTCAAATAACAGACGGTGACGTCATTAACATAACCTAGTTTTAGAAATACGAAAGCAATAAAAGAAAAGAAAAAATTAACTTACCCGCAGATATTTTAACACCACTGGCACTGCAATATCAAAGGAACACTCGGCTTTGTGACGACAATTTGAAGATGACACGTGACACGTCATAACGCTGAAAAGCAAAAAACACTAAACATCGAAATTCACTCGAAAACATTTATAATCATTCTTTTCTAAATGCTATTTATTATGAAAATATATAATACAAAACTTACTATATTATGTAGTGTTATACAATAATAAATATTGTGGTCAAGATTACTGGACTGCAAGTTTACACAGACATATTTGTTTAAAATGTTCTCGTTGGTTTTAATCAACTTCCAGCAACGCGCAACACTCGACTGACACACTATCTATGCCGTAGCGGCAGGTTTCGTTGGTTTTTTTTTTGTGTGTTGTTGTCGAAAACATCGCGCGTCACAATGACTGTTATTTATTGACATATTGCGCATGATTCCTCTTTTCAGTGTTTAGTTGCTGTTAGGTAACATGAAGTTGTTCTTTTGGCATTGTCCAAAAAAATATGCGGTTCTTCACACGCGCGCTCTGCATGTTCCAGTACATTATAGCGTTTTGTTGTAAAATTTGCGATTTCTGTCGTATTTTAAAACGTTTAAAATTGCTTGTTAAACATACACGTTGTAGGCGTAATGAAATAGAAATAATTTCACATTTAGGATGATGTTTTCTCTTTCGCTTAATTTTTGGCAAGGCTTGCGCGGTTTGGCGCAAAAAATGACAAGTTTAAAATACGTTTCGAATAAAAACCATTGTTGTTTGGTATGCGTGTTGTTTCTTCACATTAGTTATTCGTTATTCTGGATCAATGTCGTCAATGTCTCTCGCGTTTTTTAAATATTATTATTGTGTTAAATTTTTATAATATTTATTAATATTCGTTTAATAAATCGCCAAAAACAATCGGTAATAATAATTGAATTAATAAATTGTCTAAAACTTGTTATGTTTTTTTTTGTTTTCAATCGCTACTTACAATACTTTTTATTTCTCATTATTCATCTCATCTTTAGTTAAAACTATATAATAAGTTGGTAGGTTCGAGTTTTTAAAACACATAATACAACATATTATTCGCCCTAAGGGCGAACTATGCATCGTGTTAGTTTGATTATAATTTGTTTTGCGTCCGGTTGTCTGGAACGTTTCGCTTCGTTCGCTGCTGCTCACATGGTGGCGTGTTGTTACATCCTCCACACACTCACATAACCTCATCTCGTCCTCAGAATTTTTTGTTTTTGTTTGTTTAGTTGTATTTATCTTTTTTAAATAGAATATATTTGTATAGTGTATAATTTATATTAATTAATATATTTTTATATAATTTTTATGCATGTATAATAATCATAATTGTATAAGTCTATTGCTGATTCTATATTGCTATTAGATTAATCGATAGGCAGGCCGCTAAACACTATGTACTCGACTCGAATATTCACGGCGGCGGCGTTTCGACGCTTGATAATCGACTAGACAAAATTGACTATAATAGATAAAAACTAATTGATTCGAATCAAATTGACAACACGCGCTGGCGAAACGCCACCGCCATCGCTAGAAAAACTTCACACCTCGCTAAGGTGTGCAAGTGTGAGCGAGAGTTTACTCTGCTCTTAAATGCTACTGCTTTTTTTTGTTCGTTACGTGTTTTCTTTTTTTCTGCTTTTTTACTTACTGCAAACGTCTAAACGTCGGTGTTTTTTTTATTTATTTTTTTGCGTTTAAGTTAATTTTCTTCATCGCTTACCTCCTATATTGCTATGTTCCTCGGACCGCGCTCGGCGCGCGATCGCATTGCATCGATCGACGTCGCACGGGCCCGACTACTGTGATTATTGCTTTTGAATACCCGGCATATCCCGAGCACTTTTTCCTTACCGGGCGTTGTCATCGTCAGCAAATTCGATTGCATATCGTCGTTCGCGTTGTTTGCCTGCTGTGTTTCGTTTTTCGTTGTATTCGTTGCGTTGTTTTAGTGATTTTTCAATTTTTAAAGATTCGTTGTTGTTCGTATTGCTTTTCGTTATCGGCGTATGCCGCCATATTGCTTTTTCGAATAGTGACACACATACACATACACATACTGACGTGCGGAAGGTACATCATTATATCAATCATTAAATTACGTAGGTAATATTGCTTGTTTGCATTTATTGCTTATCGCATTAGAAAATGTTAACTCTTCGTTGTACTGGTTACATGATCGTTGTATATTGATGATATTGAACGTTGTGTTTGATAAGATCGCAAATCGCGCGTTCTTCCGACTGCACCTCGCATTTGATTGTGAATCCAATGCCGCGAAAGTTCAAGACCCGGGATGTGTTCGCCAGTAAATATTAAATTTAAATATATTTTACTCTCTTGTTTTTTTTTTCTCTTACTTGCTTATATATCGAATTCGAAAATTCCTCTAAAATACCAAAATCAATCGTCTTCGTCACCTAGCATATCATTTTTCGTTTAGCATACTATCAGTTCGCGCTGCTGCATTTGCATCAACTACTTTACGAGGACTTAACGAATCGCTATCATTTGGTGTATGGATTATAGGAAAATTTCTGCAAAGTGTTTGAAAAAACGAAAAATTTTTCCGCAAAAAAGAACACTAATTGACTAGTAAATATTGACTAGAAACTGAAACACTTTGCAAATCTTAAATTTTCATTAGTTTTATTCGTTGCATTTGTACGTAGAAATTGAAAATTGAGATTTAAAGTGAAGGTAACGCACCAGGCGATAAGAAAACAGATCAGAAAAGTTGAAGGTTCGCAAAAGATCTTGTACTGAATGGTTTGGATTCGTTGTGCATTATTATTTCATCGTTTTAAAACTAAGGCACCTACACTCATGACATTTATGTCTTCGTCGGCGTATTTGACTAGTTTGACACTCGCCTGGCTCTGAAAATTGTTTCAAAAACAATGTACACCTAAATAAATTAAATAAATAAATAAATTACAATCAATAAATTAATCTACTACGCACGTTGCACCTCACTTGCTGTTCATACACTACTCGTAATTAATATTTACTATATGCCTTAATTGGTAATGTTTTAAAATTTAGTTGTTTAAATATTGTTTCTTCAATTTATGCAAAAATACGGCCGAAACTTTGCGTATTTCGTTGATTTATCAATGATTTTTGTTATCAATTACTTTGTATAGTATTTTGTCTCGTTTTTTAAAATCATTTTTATAAACTCTATTATAAAATCTTCCGCAATTCCTAAATATAATTTGTTTCATTGTTTTTTGTTTTCGATTTTTTTTTTTGCTTTGCTCTGCTTGCAACCCAAACGTGTGTGTGTGAGTGACGCGCGAAAATTAACTAAGTAACTAAATTTAATTGACTATCATGACGGGACTAGCGCATTGTAATACTTCTCAAGTATTTTCGGTTTAAAACGTTAAAACTATGGACTAGTTTATTGTTTGTTTGCGACTAGATTTTCATCGAATTAAAATCCGCTACACTTCTATCTGTTGCTCAATACCTAATAAATATTGCTTCTTTTAGTTTCGTTAAAAATTTCGTATTGCTTTAAAACAAACAGGCATCAATTACTACAAAACTTTAGTAAACTGCGCATGTGTTTGTTTTTATCGTAATCTCACTTAATACCGCTTTGTTTTTTGTTTATCCTAGTACATTAGTGTATGTATGTATGCATATATATATTATATATATATAATATATATTTTTATATATAATAATACTAGCATTTATATTTGCATAACTTCGTTGTTTGTGAAACTTTGCTTTTTGTTCGCAGTGAACATTTTTTGGAATGTCGCTCGTTTTAATTAACTTAATTAGACTATGGGTGGGGGTGCCCGATAACATCTTAAACTGTACACACAATCCCAAATGGTGTTCTAAAGGTATTTGCGTTTCCCTTTGCCCGAACGCTTTCGGCCTGCATGCAATCTCGAGGGCGAGGAGAGCAACAAATGTGTTTTCCTTGCCGACTCGCGTCTTAATTGAAATTCACCTAAAAAGTTTATAACATAACCTTCGCTCACTTTCGTTGTTTTTTTTTGTTGTTTGGTTTGTTCTTGCGTTTAAATAGAGTCGTAATAATTTATTCCTTAAATCTACTGCCCGTGGGGCCCTAACTTAGTGGACGTGTTGCGATGTGTTATCTCACTGGGAGGGATATTTACAAAGGGGGTGGCGGTTGTTTCCTGGTGGGTGTGGGAAGTGGGTGCGAGTTTGAGGAGGAGGCTTCAGTTCGCGAAGTATAAATCATAGCCCTAATCTTGGCCGCGGCGTGACGCGTTCCGGGCGCGCCGGGCGCGCTGCCAGCGAAACGTGACGCGCCTGCCAAGATTGCGCGCCACCCCTCGGACGCGGGGTGGGCCCGTTCGGAGAGAGAGGAATCTTTTAAGATACTAGGAGAAGCGACTAGTTTAGCGCAGTTTTTTTCCTTTTCTTCCCTTACTGTTCGCCTTCTATTTTGTTTGCGTTTGTGTGGTCATCGCGTTGTAGGAGGCGGTGGCGGTGGTCGATCGTGCTCAGCCGGCGTAGACGAGACTCGGCTCCGGTGATAGTGCGCGCGTTGCGCTCAGCAACTCGCCCTCTTCTTCGAGATGGCCTTCGTCCTTGAGGCACGCCGACTCAAGATGCTTGTTCAGGTAGGACTTGAGCGCGAACGACTTGTGGCATCGTGGGCACTCAAAGTTCTTGTCCGACGAGTGCGTTTGCATGTGCGCGCGTAGATTACTACGGTCCGCAAAGGCCTTACCGCAATGCGCGCACCCATAGGGTTTCTCTCCAGTGTGCGAGCGAAGATGACCCTGAAGGAGCCACGGCCGCGAGAATTGCTTGCCGCAGACGGAGCACTTGTGGGCCAGCTTGTGCGTGAGCACGTGCATTGCTAACGCTGGCATGCTCACGTACGCCTTGCCGCAGGTGATGCACTTCTTTGCCGATTGTGAATCAAGACTGCGATGTGTCTGCTTATGCCGTGAAAGATTACTGGAGGTGGCGTATTGTTTGCCGCACTCGCTGCACGTGTACTTGGGTTTATCTCCGCCTGTGATGGCTTTTGGTGTAGGCGCAGCGGCGATTTCTTCGGGCGGCGGCTGCTTCTTTTTAGAGCGTCCGTCGCTCACGAAAAACGCCTCGTAGGTATAAGCAACAGTCTTGGACGATTTGATCGGGTGCTCCGCATCGACGGGTTCTTCTTCCATTGGCTGCGCCGGTTGAACAATCGGCGGCGGCGGAGGCATGAAAACCGTCGTTGACGCGCTCAAGTCAAGTATCGCGTGAGCGGCATGTAGGTCTTCTTCGGCAGGTACGCGTATGAGCGACGCGGGCGGCGAGGGTTTGTCGTCCAGTGAGTACGGCCGATAAATGTCTTTCTTTTTCGGCGGCAGCGATAACGCTGCTCCCGTACTCGTAAAGCACATCGCCAGACTTTTCTTGCCTCTTGTATTCGTACCACTAGCAGGTTGCGGGCTGCTGTACTCAGCGCGGAGGTCTTGCGTTTCGTTGACGGTGCGCAACGTTGCGTACGTTTGGGGTGGTTGCTGCCCGCTCCCGCTGGTAGTCGTCGGATGGTCGACGCGCGTTATAAACGTGGACGTGTAGCTAGTCGGCGAGAGCTCTTGCAAGTAGCCTGGAAAAGGGTAATCGGGTTGTTGCTACAAATCCAATTGGCTCTCCAAACTAAATTCTAACCTAACTAGCCAACTACCAAAGTCTACAACACTAAAATTTCCGAAAAGCACGCCGCTGTTCCTCAATTGCTAATTGTTGATGATCCGCTTATGAAAATGCAAGCAAAGTGTGTTTCTAGAGCAGCTGTCACCGCTATCTAGTCGCCGGTCGGCATGGGTCTAGTCATTCCGGGTTTTAATTAAAAGGATCCAGTGATCCAGATGTTGTCGGCGGCATTTTACCCCGGAACCGAATAAGGTGCACAAGCGATGGATGGGTTTACGAGCGTCGCCAGCCCGCTGCGTCCCGAAACCCTATTAACATATTCATTCCCCACCGCGGGCGCGTATTGCTAATGCAGCCGGAATCGACTGGCCAAGTGAATTCCCCGATCGGGGCAAAACGTCCCAAACATTCTGCGATTATTATTCAACTCGTCGCGTCGTTCCGGCACTGCATCAATTGTTAATACGGACGGCGGCAAACCGGATGAATATTTAACCTGCTGCTGCAGCGAAGGGTTACTTTTTTAAATGCTCGTCGCGTTCGCTTGTATCGATTGTTTTGAGGCCGTGAAACACTCACCATTGTATAAGAGAGTGGTTCCGTGCGGCGACGTCGGCGGCGGACTGGGTGCAGTCGCGCCAGCCGTAGGACTGGAAGGTGCCCAGCACGCGTTCGGCGTAGCGTCGCCGACGACATCAATCTCCTCGTCGTCCTCATCCTGCGTGGTTGCTGCAGCTGGTGCAGTTGCCGTCGTGGTGGTAGAAGCAGCGGGCGCCTCGTTGGGCCGCTCTGGCCACGGGTACGCCTTCCACTTCTTCGCCATCAGGCAGCGCGGCATCCTGGCGGCGTTGGCGTGTTATCGCACGCTGCGCGCACAATTCACGACGCCCGCTGGCGACGGCGACGACACTGGCAGACGCTCGCACCGTCGATGCGCGCACCACATGTGAGAGCACATATAAACGCGTAGTGTGTGTTGATCGCGATTTGTTGTTGATGGTTTCGTTGTATTTTTATTTTGTTTGTTGTACCAAGAGAAAAGAGAACAGGAGAAGAGAAGAGCGAAAACTGAACGAAACTAAACTAAACGAACCCCTCGTAGCGTTTGAAGGGTACGCGCGACCCTCGTGCCGCTTTTATAGTGCCATTGATAGCGGCTGGTGGGGGTTGAGCGCGCGCGGTGCGAGAATGCGCCGCGCATCGATTTGTGCCCGCCTGCAGAGACCTCACCCAACACGTGGCCGGACGGCGAGGCGCGTGCCGCAGAGCCGCCCGGCTCCGATTTCGGCCGCGCGCACCCGCCGCCACCACCACCGCCTCCCGGAGACACGTCATGCGGCACCTTCGCGCTGCAACCACCTGCCCGATCCGCGCGCCGACCGAGGAAATCCACTTCCGAGTTCGAGCCGGACGTCCACGTTCGACGACATATTAGGATCACGTTTCATCCACCTCTAAACCAATACCGGCCTAATGCCATCGATACGCAAACCTTACTCATTCAGATCTTTTTTCCTTCGCATAATGAAAAAACACGAAAAAAAACTCATCTAAAAAGGTTTCTTCCGCCGAGGTGTTAATTACGTTTTTATTTGCTATTTACGCCCGCATGCGAGGCGTAACTTTAATGAAAAACATTTTTGCGTGTTTGCGCCACTTCATTCGTTCGCTATTTACCTACGGGGTGCTGGGCACACAGCCGGACGGTTTACATGCACGCGGCGCGCACAACCCTCCCTTGAAAGATTGTTGCTTTCCCCATCTGTTGATCCGTCCAGATGCGGAGGAATATGTATTACAAACAGGAGCGCAAAAACTACATACACCATGTCCGCAGATCGTATAACACACTGTATAAAGTACAATGTGGGTGAATGCATCACGCATACGAAATGAAGGGTTGTCTACATACATGCACACAAGATAACACGATAACAAGTTATCTGCAGCGTCGCGATGCGTGCGCCCCACGCTCACACCACCCTCGGGGGTGGTGAATCCGCAGCCGACGCGACGATAAGACCTACGTGCGCGCGTGCACGCTATCTGCAATAGAGCGCCGACTTTGCATACAAATTAACCCCGGTCGCAGACTTTGCGACTTGCGCGTCTCGCGACTTTGGTTTATTTAAACCCCCATACTTAATTATCAATGGTAATAGATACACGAATACGTTCGAGTGCGTCGGCGGTGGCGTCTTCGAACCGAATGTAACTCACCGCATTAAGTTGGATTTCCTCGCGCCCCGGGAGCCCGCGTAACAGGTCACGAAGAGATTTCCATTTTAAACCAAGAGATAAGCATGTAATCAAGTCTTAGCTTGCGCGCGCGCGAGCTCACCCCCGTCGTTGGTGAGATAATGTCTTGGAAGGAAAAGCAACGCAGGAGGAAAAAAAAACGAGGAATCACACGAGGCGCCCTCCTTTTTCATCTTCATTCGCCGCACGTGAAGGACGCTTTAATTGCGCTCTTAAAACAAACGCGAAGAAAGCAGTTTCAGTGTTTTATTTGTTTTCCAACGCGCGCGCGGGCGAAACAAAAAGTAATTCGGAATTTACGCGTCGAAGGGAATGTCGTGCGTAACTGATTGTATGTGTGCTGCTTGCACACAATATGTCAAAAGCATTGTTACGTTCGTTTTTTTATAGTTGAAAAACCGCTACTCCCATTTCACGCGCATTGTTATTTGTTATTTTATTGTCGCGTCCACGTGCCCGTAGTAAGCGCGTGCTATATGCTACCTGACTTTTCGGGATAAGCCGCTTTTATGCGATGCGCGGTGGGGCAGATGGTCCCTTCGCTCGCTTTTTAGTCATGCACACACAACCCCGTGACGCACGGCCACTGTATATGCAACATGCATCCGCTGCTCGACGCGCGCCGCGGCCACCGAAAAAGGAAAAGAAGCGTGTGTGCGGCACGACCCCGGAATCAGAAAAAAAGCGAACACGACGAGAAATAACTGGTGCGTTGTTGGTGCAGCCGAGCGGTGTACATTGTAGATTGTTGCAAGGGGTTTCGCGTGTGTGCGCACCCCAAAAGGGCTCCCGGACTACCGTACCCATTCATTTATTCAATAAATACGAACATGCTACAGGCGATCGTGCTCTCCGCGCATAATTTATGCGTTTCGGGGCTGTTTCGGTCGTACGTGGCCGGCTCGTGGCGTCGAAGCGTTCGTTTGATTTTATCGTAAGTGCATATCTTAGTTATGCCCTTTAATCTCGCATCTAACGATGGTACATGCATGCGACACGTAGCATTAAATATATATAAACACGAAATTACCGAAAAAGTCACTTTTTGGTATTTATTTTTAAAAACATTAAAAAACATATTTTCAACTTGAAAAATTGATAATTTATTGACAATATTTAATAGAGAACAATGTTTTTCATGTCTTATCCCCAAGTTTGGTCTAACTATAAAAACAATATTTTATTATTAAAATTCAATATTGTGACAATTTTCATTTGTAAATATAATAGAAACAATGTTCTACGTCCAATTCATCCAAATTAGACCCGAACCTAGCTGTTACAATAGTTAATAGTCTAGTGAGACAGCCTGTTAGTGTCTGCGTGTCTGGCAAATTCAGATTCGAAATTAAATAGTAGCAATGGCGCGGCTAGTAGCCGGAAGATCCGCGCCCGCCACGCATATCTCTTATACATCAGCCGCTAATTCAATTTGCACCTCACCGTCCCATATTAACTTTATCGAATTAGCATAACATCTCCGACGGGCCGAGCCCGGAATCGCGCCGCGCAATCCAATTATAACTATATCGCAAAATATTAATCCGTCACAGTGCAAATGAAAACGGACTGCTTCGATGTTAAACATTCAGGATGGCGTCCGTATTAAAATTCATGATAATGAATACCTGATTCATTTCATTTTACCACCGCTTGTGTATTTAATATAAATATGTTAAATATTTGGGCGAATTTCTCTCAGCGGTAATAAATTAAGTCGAGTACATTTGTTGTAGTTGGGCGCAATTAACGATGCACAATCGTTGGGAGGGCTGTAATGACGATGATTAGTGTTGGTCGTAATTTGCATACACACAAGGCGGAGGCGCCGACGCCGGTGCGGCGAATTGCGTTCCGCGACGTTTGCGTGTTTTCGAAATTAGATCATGACCGGAACCGGCGGCGCGCGCGCGGCGGTGGCGGCAGCGTGTGCATGCTCCACCTTTGGCAGGGCGCCCGCATTGTTTGTGTTCGTGTGCCTATGCATGCATGAAATCAAATCCTTACGGACCGAGCGCTAAGTGTTACGGCTCTAGGAGCATAGGAGCAATATTGTCCTGATTTACAAAACCGCAATTCGACGATAATAGCAAGTGCGACACAAATGCGAACACTAGTTCAGGATGTAGATCCAATTTGGCTCAATTTTATCAAATTTGAATTGCGTATTGGTGGAATTGTGTGAATGTTTTATTCGCCGCGTTGAATTTCATGAATTATTCTGATGTTTTGCGGTGTTTGGGGGGGGCGCACGTTAAAAATGTACACCAGTGGTGAAACAGCCTCGGGGTGCGTTCTCCCAACGACTTGTTGTGTAGTCGCGGCCCACGAGGTCGCGGTTATCGCATGCTTGGCGTCGTTATTGCAAACCCTCCACACTCTCTTTTCCTAGTGGGTTCATGTCGGTAATGATGTAGTTAGCGCCACTATCGCCCACTATCACCACTATTTCGAACAAAAATAAAATCTGTTGATATTTTTATGCACTAGATCAATAAAAAGCAAAAATGTGTGGAAATTTGTTTGTCATAAAAACAAATGGAGGATGAATGTAAAGATAGGTGAATTTGTGACGTGATACCGACTCGATCTCAATGATGAAGCGTCATGTTTGTTATGATTTTCATTTGCGCGTGTTTACTCTGAGGCGGGAGCCAGCAGTAGCAGGATGCGGAATCGATGTGTGCAGGAGAGTCGGTCGTCGGTAACAGGTGTCGGTAACGGATCGATTGTGTAGGCCACGCGGCGTGTGCGCGCATGCGCGGGCGCCGCTCCGGCGTCGCCGCCGCCCGCCCGCGCGCGGCGAGCGTCGCGTCGCAAGCACTCGCAGCTAGGGAGTGGTGCGCCTCGAGTTCGCCGCGCGCCCAGTGACATTGAGAATGACGGCGATTATTAGCAGGCCGCGCTGCTGCAACGCGTAACCAAACAACACACATACACAAAAACCACACGCCAGAAGACAAGACACTCAGAAATCTGTGTGCGAGTGCAACCCCAAAACCGTCCAGCGAAAGTGTTCCCCGCGTGTGCGTCGTCGTTGTCGTCCGTTGTTGTCGCAGTGTGTGCGTGTGTGCGTGAGTGTGAGCGCCGCTGCCGCAGCCGGCCCAGCGCGTCGGCGAAGATGTCGCACTGCCGTCGCGCCGTTGGCGTTGTCGCCGCCGCCAGGAGATTGTTACCTGTTGGCTGAACCGGCCCCGGGCTGCCTTCCTGTGTATCGCCGACCGACCGCCCGCCCGCCCGCTCACCGCTCGCTGCTACTTGTTGCTTGGACCCACCTCTATTCCCGTCACTCACCACTTGTTCCACCATCTATGCGACAACCACCTGCAGACATTCTTCGTCCTCGCAGGCTAATCGCACAGCAGCAGCAGCTATAATAACTCCTCAAAGCCAATTCGCAAGAGTGCACACAAACAGTGCGATTGTAAACGAAAAAGATAAAATATAAAAAATGCCGCGGTGTTATATGGTAAAGAAACAAAGCAGCAACAAGTATCAACGCGACTGCTGGAGTGATGCGCTAGCTCCTGGTGCCGGCGCCGCGGCGCCCGAAAGCCCTACGGAGGCCTGCGTCGCGCCGCCCTACTACACCCCGCTGACGAACAGATTGAGTAAGTATAGCCTGAACTTATCATGCACAATCAATATTGACATAAATTCCACTCACTAATAATGGTCTCGCAGCCAGCTACAGCTAATCAAACATTTAATTATCGGAATGAACTTTACAATGAGTTTGCAATTTCGCTGTTTACACAATCTGCGAAACAATCATGTCACAAATTTGCCAGCAATTAATAACGACGCTATTTATTTTGTAGCCAGGTAATAAATTACTTTTTATGTAAAACCACCCCAACCCCAGGTGTAGATTTACGCCTGCTCGACTAACGACGATAAAGCAAACATATAATTTGCTAGTCAATGCTCTCGGCGGCGTGCGCGTGTTGAATTAACGCGCGCCGCGCGCTCGCTAATTACAAATCGATGCGACTAACATCAGACTGCAACCCTCGCAACAATACGCCGCCTAGCTATCATCGGAATAACATTAAAACGTAATAATTCTGTTGGCGCCATCTCAATTTGGCGCCGCGGCGCTTAAAAAATGCAAAACAATACTCGTACAATTGCTACAGTTATCGATCGCGCGCCCCGGCTTGCACCAACAAGTACCTATTCCATATTATACCTATATAAGGGTACAACAAGTAGAAATTCCACTTTCGCGTCAATAACCGTAATTAATATTTTCTTTCAAGTCGCAAGCAACAACCTTCGGGGAATTGAAGACGTAGGAAACCAACATGTGTTTTATAATTGCTTTTATTAAATAATAAATTCTCCCTATATCAATCTATATTATTTAGATTTAAACGCTGTAAAATATACGGAAAACTTTTATACAAGAATTTTTTTACGAGGTAGTAAAATGTTTGTTGCCCGGCTCCTCCACATGTGCGTGCAATATAAAAAATGTAAACAAGTGTAGCGCATCACGAAACACGCATATGAAGTTTTTATACGCCAGTTTCAAGCACACGTATCGCATGTAACATGTAAAACAAACAGGATGTGTATCCTAGTGGAATATTTTCCTTTCAAAGGTTTCAGAGAAGCGGCTTCGAGGAAGCCGTACGAAAAAGATTAGTCGATATTTATATATTATCTAGTATTGAGTTTACAAGTTGACATGTTGACAAACAAAGCAACAAACTAATAATAAAGTTTCCGAGCTTTTGTCGAGTTAAATCTTTGTTGAAAGTTTCGTTAAGTTTAGAAAACTTTATATAGAAATATATTTCATCTGAAGTACAAATTTAACGAGCGTCCTCACACGTGTTACATTATCTTGTTACGTTGCTGGGTGGCGCTCTCGTCGACTTCTTATCTTTATTCGCTCGCTTCTGTTGCCACCGCAACGGGATAGAGATAACAGATCCGCGTAATATAATAAATGTGGCAAACGAAGTCGACGGCGTAAACGCGCGAAGAAAACGAACGTAACTAAGTGTGAGCGCGTCGCTAACGGCGTCTGTGTGCTACTGTTGGAGGTGTTTTTTCTTCCCTTTTTTTTTCATTGGTGGCTCGGTTCTTTGCCCAGCGGGAATAAATAATCTAATTTGATAAAACCACTTACCGCACGTTCGCCATTTGTGCGTCGACGATGGGACATGCGACATGCGACAACTCATTATGTTTATTATCGCACGTCCAAACAAAACGATGTCATTTATTATATTAGAAAGCGTAGAAATAAAGAAAAAACTAAGTAAGAAATATATTTTATTTATTTAAGGAGATATTGCTCTTGAAATTTAGTTTCTCAGTTGTACGTAGCTTCCATAAATAAAGGCGACGACGATAGGATTTGTCGGAGAGTTCGAAAAGTTCAAGTCGCTTCGCGACGAGCGTCCTCGACAATTTCGCCCTTCGTATTTATGCGTAAAACTAAATTAATAATGAGATAAAGTGGGGCTTGCTACTTGTTGCGCGCTACTTGTTCGCCCAACATGGCCGCCGGGCGGATGTGAAGTGGTGGCGGCGGCAGTGGCGGGGCGCGCCGAGAGGGATGGCGACGAGACGAATGCGCGCCGTGAGCGACCCAAGCGAGCATGCATCCGAACGCGAATACGCGAATACATCAAGCAAACGCGGGGATTACGCGACGCCAACAAGGGGGTGAAGTCATCAAACTTCACCCTACCAAATGTCACAAAAGAATATTTAGAAAATTATTAATATATACATCATCTCTAGATTTAATATTTAATTTCATATTTTTTTACATTGTGTCTATGTTTTATGTGGAAAATTTAAAATTTAGTCATTTATGGAAAGGTACTGTATTGATATCTTTGAAAACGTTTCCTAATGCGCAGGAAACGTAAACGATATAGACTGCTAGTTGAATTCGCGGGCGCGGCGCACACTGACAGCTTTGCATTCGCAACAAGATCTCTCGGTGGCGGCGGCAGAGCCGTAGGATGCAATATTACGCTAGAACAAACACTCTCAAAGCGGCTTTCAGTTTCGGGCATTACGTGCGCCGCTTTCCAAGAAAGCACTCGACGTCGTCCGCAGCGCTCGCGCGGACTCGCAGAAAATCCCCTTTTTGAGGCAGCGCACGCCGTGCGAATCCGTTCGAGTGGAGCGGAGATAAAAGAAGTTTTCGGCGCGGCGGCGGAAACGCCAAGTGGCCCCAATCACACAATCTAGAACAAACACCTGCCGCGGGGGGAGGTTAAATTCACTCTTCATTCCGCAATCAATATAAGCGCGTCTTTGCACCCGGTAACAAATGGTGATAACGAGCAGCAAAAATCAATCATGCGGGATGCGGTTAACGGATGCGCAAGTTCTCAGGAAAATACGCGAGTAATTAATGACTCTTGCGTTTGCTAAGACGATTAATATCGGCGCAATGATTGAGAGTTCTTGGAAACAATTTTTCTATATCAATTTCAGCTGGCTGTGATTACGATTCAAACAAGTGTCACATAATACACAACTAGGTATAGGTTAGAGATAATACTACAGCAGTAACCATGTCCTGTGATTGCTTCGAACTTGTTATTGAACTGTGTAATAATTATAATTATCATAAAACGTTTTTTCAAACAATAAAGTGCTTTGTGTGTTTTTTCTTTGTGATTACAGGTTACTCCAATGAGTATGACCAACACAATACGGAATCATGTTCCCAGGAAGGTATCACCATCCACATGGAGTCCGCGAATCGCCTGGACCAAAAAAACGAAAACCCGGAAGAAATAATCACCCAGCATGATGGAGGCATTCCGATCTTCAGTACACGCAGCGCTGCCGAAACTGAAGCTGCTCATGATCTCCTCTCGCTATCGCAGAGCCTCCCACCATTACAGGCACCAGGGGTAGTGACGATACACCACAACATACCCACAGAAGAACGACCAACATCACCATCCTACACTTACCGGCCGCTTTCGCCTGAACCACAAGTTCAGCTCCAACAACCACCACCACCACCTGCTCATGCACCCATGGCTATTATTGCTGCGGGTAACCAACTTGTGTACCAATCACCTATAGTCTATGTGGTGCAAGTCCCAGCGGTGCCTACACCGCCAACATCCGAGTGCTCCTCGGATGCAGAGAACAACATTCAGATCTGCATCGCTGAGGAGCATGGACACAACGAAGATATTATAATCCTGCCGATGTCGCCCGAACCGGAAGGGCTGCATGTACATCAGCTGCAAGCCGGACACAATGCCGGCACGCAGACAAATGACTCCGAGTTGGAGGTGGATGTGGAGGTTGATGTTGACACGGATGTCGAGGTGGCCGCGACGGTGATTGTTAGTCCAGCACAGGCGAGACAACAGAGTGTCATCACTTCCACTAATAGTGTCACGCTCGGAGGCGAGAAAAGACAACGACGTGTGGCTAGCGCTGGAGGAGCACGGAAACGCCGCCTGAATAATAATAACAACAACAACAATAACAGCAATCACAGAAACAATAATAAAAGCGTTGATGAAGAGCAGTCCACGATAGATGAGCACGATGGTGATGAAGAAGACCATGAAAAGAACGCCAAAACGGTGAGTTTATAAATTTTTAACGAAATTTAAAAATATTTAAATTAATTTTTGTATTTTAAAGCGATACTTTGCTGTCGTTGATGATGAAGAAGACGCTGATGACCAGCTCAAAGCGACACCTCCCGAGTCGCCACCGCCGGAGAAAAACAGCCGTTCCAAAGCGCGTTATCGTTGTACAGAGTGCGGCAAACAGTACGCCACCTCCAGTAATCTCTCGCGACACAAGCAGACACATCGCAGTCTGGATTCACAAATGGCGAAAAAATGCATGACTTGCGGAAAGGCATACGTCAGCATGCCAGCGCTAGCAATGCATGTGCTCACGCATAAACTAGCGCACAGTTGCGGCGTATGCGGTAAACAATTTTCGCGCCCATGGCTCCTCCAGGGCCATTTACGTTCGCACACTGGCGAGAAACCCTATGGATGCGCGCACTGCGGTAAATCATTCGCGGATCGTAGTAATCTACGCGCGCACATGCAAACGCACTCGTCGGATAAGAACTACAGCTGCCCGAACTGCAACAAAACATTCGCGCTCAAATCGTACCTAAACAAGCACCAGGAGTCGGCGTGTCAGTCGCACGCGGGCGCTACACGAACTGATGATGACGACGCCATCTTGTCGTCGGACGCCGACGAGAACTAACACTGATGACGGACGCGTCGCGCGACAGGAGGAAAATCGGCAATAAAAAGCAATATTGACTTCAAACGCTTACTTTAAAAATACTACATGTACGTAAATTTGACATACACACAACACACAAATGCATTTACACACACACACACACAGACGTGCGGTTAAAACAAATGTTAGGCAACGAACCCGAGTTTGTTTCGATACAAATTTAGTCAAGTCAATTCGTAAACTATTAAATTATTAAACACAAATTATTATCTATATACCTAGTCAACGTGACAGAGATAAGAGAGGAGGAGCATGAGGAATTTAAAACGTCGAGCTTTTTGACTTTCACCGAACCAGGTACAATAGGACGCGAAGGGTTTTCGTTCCGACGAAGGCAGCAGCAATTTTCACAAAGACCAATAGACTGTTTGTTCATAGACGACAACAAAAGTAACGATATTACTAGTGAGATATGTTTAGTTAAGGCGCAGCGAGTAGGCAAGTGAATAGTGTGATGAATAGTAATAAACAAAAAAAAAACGCAAGCGCAGCGAAAGCGAAGCATAATATTGATATTGATTTAGTAAAAAGAGATAACACTTAAAAAATAAAAATGGCCAATATTATACAACGAATCATTGATTGCACCGAACGTCCGGCGCGACATTCGATTATTTAAAGAAAGAAAAAAAAATGAAGAAAAAAAAAATAATAATGAAACATAGATCTTTTATCGATCGTCTTATAGTTCACAAAATATATAAGTATAATTTCATACTCATATACACACGTAACGTATTAAATGAATTTCCAATTTGCATAATTACCTTTTGCAACATTTTGAAAACTCAACAGCTAGCGAAAGTGTGGAGTGATGCAGCGGAATGGCATAGGAATGAGGTTATGCACACGTACACACATACACTCAGACACACGGTGTAGTGTGTAGTGGTGAAGGGAGGAGTGTTTTAAACAAGCCCTAGTCAATATTAACCGTAGTCTTAAAACAAAGATTAAGCAAATGAAGCATTTAAGGATACTAATAATGAAAATAATGATATTGCGTAAGTGTTTCGTGTTTTGTTTTACGAGATGGCGCTACGAACCGAATGGGGTGGATTTCGTGAAATCAAACTAATTACTACTGTCTGTGGTATTTGTAACCTATATTTATTTGTGTGATGTTTTGATACACCTTATACATAACTGAATATAAGTACTGGATGTCCATAGCCAAAACGACCCAAACAAAAAAAAAATGCGAACAAAATGAAATGACATGCATACTCTATGTGAGAAAATGAAGAAAAGTGAATCACTGAAAGTTGGGCGCAAGGGAGGAAATTGACACATGCCAGACGTTCTTTTTTAATAAAATTTTTATCAAACAACGGTCAGCCGATCATCTTGACACGCTCGCGCGCTGCTCGAGGAAAGTAATATTTTCTCCACGTTCGCCACCACCTCGCGCACTACCACCACCACTACGAGCAAAACGTCTTAGGCGTTCGTTCGATTCGAATGGAAACCGTTTCGCATGATGATGGTATTGATTATGTCGGCGCGTAGGGTGGGCGAGAGCGGGTGGCATCCAAGTGAAGTGCATACACGCGCGCACCGATACGTTGCGTGCTTCCGGCGAATCTTTATTTCAATACGGTTGTGCGCTCTGTGTTGTAATTCGCGATCGCGATTGCCAAAGCGAACACTGTGTGTAATTCATTGATTTCGCCATTGAGTTCCGTTTGTGTTTCGATTCGACGATATTGAAATTTCCAGCAGTTACGACGGCACGTGGGAGCACGTGCGATTTCCCGAAATGCGCGATGCAAAAGGCCCCATCGCTATCTTTTATTTCATTCGTTTCTATGATTTCTTTTTTAAATTAGAAGAAATTTTTGAAACTCCTAAAATAATTACGATTTAATCCAGAGAATTAGAGAAACAATGCACGCTGAAATAGTTGCAAGCGCATATGTAAAATTGAAGCAATACCTTGTGAGAACCACACAGTAAAACTAATTGATAAGAAGATATAGTCTTGTTTTCGACAATTTTTGTAGCAACAAATGTGCGGAGAAAGAAGCTTTTCGATATTACTTCAACATTTTCGAGGACCTGAGGCAAGAAGGCGGGATAACGAATGGCAACACACAAAAAATGGTAAAATTAATTAATAAAAAATAAAAACTAGTCGCAGCCTTAATAATATACACCAAAAATATTTATAAAACTAATATTACTAAGCAAGGATATGATAAAGTAAAAGTAACGCAAGCAAAACAAGAAAACAACACTTCACTCACATATTTAAAGCTAAACGAGGATGAAATAAAACGAAATAAGCATTTTAGACGATTAGCGATTTCACTTCTCTACATTTTTCGACATTTCGACATATTAGGCGACCAGAGCTTGTAAGCAACAGGCTATATAGACGCGCGAGGTCCTTTAAAGAAGCTTTATTGTTTAATCGATCAGCGAAACGAAAGCGAAACTTAAATATGCGCCACGGCTACGACTACAGCAAAAGTAAAAGCCAGAGAAGAAGATAAAAAAGAAACAAATGTGTAACCGAGCAAATATCGCCAAGGCAAACGAAACATTTCCGAGCATAGCAATAATATTAAAAGGGCGATTAAATGGCCGACGACAACGGAGAGCAAACATGTTGACAAACAAGCCGGCAAGCAATGTGCAAAAGGATGCGGAGTGGGATTTTGCCTGAATGGGAGAATATATGCATTGTGTTTTTATTCGTTTTTCGATATTCGCGCGTACCCATAATAGTTGATGAACTTATTCTGCGACCGTACCATTTCTAGGCGTTTAACGACAGAAACAGAATTCATAGATGCTAGACTTATTTAAAAGTGAATATAGCGTATGCATGTATTTTAAAAGTTTAGAGAGCATATATTATACATACGTATTATACCATGATGATATTTTTAAATTGTCATTCTTATGTGATTATTAATATTATTAATCACCTTTTAGCCCCGAAAAGCAATAAACATATTTTTAATCTGATCAACCTCATTTTTCTTTGAATAAATTTAACCTAAAAATTTCAGGTTAGATAATACTGATGCCATCTGGCGTGAAAATAAGTAAGTATAATATCTATCTTGGTGATTGTAATTTTTTGGAGTATTGTCAAGTGTAAAATATTAAATTTTCCACGAGTCCCACAAGTGACCCGCGCAGCTCAAAAAAGTGTAGCGATTCCCCGAAGATATTAAAACAATAAGAATTGTTCGGCATCTCGGCATTCGAAATCAGAAGATCACCCGCTGAGACGTGCCCGCAATCGAATGATTTCGCTCGGGTGTCGGTTGCAGCTAGGCAACTCTCGACGCTGCGGCGAAACCGACTTGGAGTCAATCCACGTGCGAGTTTCCTCAACGGACTCGCACTCGATCCGACAGATAAAGGTCTATCGCGCGTTATCGGCACACACACACCAACAAGCCCGACACGCAATCCTGCCAAGTTTACCACAATCGACGAGGGGAAAACGAAGCCACACCGAGCGCAAAGTGAGTACAAAAAGATTTGGTAACTAGGGGTCAGTCGGTAAAGTGTTTCTTGTTATTTCTAGTTCAATCTACTTGCGAAAATGTTAAATAAGCGTTAAATTTCATTACAGCGCAATTTTCTTTAAAGTCTGAGCAAAACAAATGACTCCTTCTATTGTACAACTTGTAATTACAATTTCGACAATTACAAATTGCGAAAATTCACAACTTCGTAATTTTAGTTGTTTTCACTTGCTAAGATTTTTTTTGCTACACTTGTCACAAACATAACTGTTGTGTTTAATTCAATTGCAGACAAAAACCTGTATTAATCATAATTATCGTCGACAAATTCGAGGAAAATTAAAGGTGCACGCTAAGTCGAGATATATTACACTAAATTACCCCACAAATAACTTACTAGTGCAAATTAAACGGATGTAGAACATCAATAAAATGCAAGCGAATGTCATTCTCGACTCGTGGTATCGCGGTTTGTAATCAATAATAGAAACTCGGCAAATTGTACACTGTACGAAACTATTAAAGAAGAGAAAATGAGAGGAAGTTTGTATGATGACAAATGAGTAATTGATAGCACCATAATTTTAATGTTAACTTTGCAAATATAAAAAAATATAACAACCTAATTGAGATTTAAAAAGAAAGAGAGCATATTTCGTGGATAAAGGTCAACGACAAAAGTAAAAGATTAGCCCCGCGGCCCAGTTGAAAATGGATTGAAAATAATTAATGTGCGGCTTCCGCATTTTATCTCTTACTTTTAGCCCGATTTCATTTGCGTAAAGTGCGATAGCGAGCGCTGTCGAGAACGGGGGGCGGCTTAGCTGCCGCCGCCACTGCTGCTGTTACTGCTGCTGCGTCTCGAAATATAGTAAGGTCGAACCGAATCCGATTGCGGCTTTAGCTCGAAAACGCTATCACTATAAATCCCCGAAATAGCCCACATCTATACGACATGCAATTTTGTTTGAGAATTCAAGGGCCCGTATCGCAAATCCGGGCACCCCGAAAACCACCACGATGCGTTCCGTACACACTCACACACTGCACGCCCGAAAAACTTGCAAAAAACTTAATCCAACTTAACCTAAGCTCAGTATAAAGTGCAACACAAATGTTTATTTAGGGTTAGTTGGATCATTTTAATTTTAAGCTGCTTCGAAATGAGGAAAAACATTTTTTTACATTTTTAGCAGATTTTGGTGAGGATACTGTATGAAAATTCATTTGTACATATAAACTACCCCCTGCAGATGGGCCGAGGGCTTGCAACCCATCAAATTCCAATACTTTTTGTTTCTCAGCCTATATAACGCGCAATATCCCGACCGCGAGCCGCCCATATTCGAAATTATTTGCGGATGCGCGTAGATAAATTTGCATCCATCTATTAATTCGCGCTTCGTTTTGTGTGCGGGCGTTCGTCGACAATCAACCAGTAAATTTATTTCTTCCACAGCACGACCACACCAGCAAAAAATTCGCAAATTGTTTTTTCTTTTTCGTAAGTAAATAAAAATACCTCATCTCTTTAAGCAAAAAAAAAAATAAGTGAGGGTTCATCACCATTACCATATTACTTTCTTTTCCGGCCGAAAATGTTTGCGATGTTGTTGGTCACGTGCGTTTTATAATTTCCCGTCGAAACATCAAAGAGCGCCGCGTTCCGCCGATGGAAATATTATGGAACTCGTAAAAAGTTCGCCCCGGTTTACTTGCGTAATGCAATTTCGGAAATACAAGTACACTCCGCATGCATTACTCCTCCGCACTGCTCACTTCGGCACGGTTGTGTGTCTCGTCGTTTTTTTTTTTTTGTAAATTACCGAAACGAACCAACCGACAGTTATATAGCGCGATGTAGATTGAGGGCGGAAAGGGTGGGCCCGTATATATAGGTGCACGCGAACGGCGGATAAGCTCGCTGTTTCAGTATAATAATATTCGAAATGGGAAAGTTTCAAAAGTCTGCGCTGGTCTTTTCAATTTATGACGTGCGCCAATATGGAGATGAAGCATGCGAACAGCGCGCATCATCATCGTTCCGGGGATGAAATATGAAACACGAAATTCGCAATTTCGCCTGTGTATTTACCGAGAGCATTTAATTTTCTATAAATATGCTCTCTCTGTGTGCAATGTGTGATGTAAATTGGGTTGCCGCACAGCGATAACCTTAAATTTTTACTACCGCATCGATGATTACGCTTTATCCTATCGATACTCGTTGCAAATCAATTTTATTACAGGCAAATATTGCAAAACGACTAGTAACTAGTCAATTACGAACTGCCGGGCGCGATTTCATTATGGAAACGGACACGTCCGCATGCAGGACTGATTGACCACTTAATTTGGCCTAATTATTATTGTATACGAGGCGGTTTACGGTTAGCAGTTCGCCGATAGCGATTATGCGCGAATGCACGAATTGCTGCAGCGGCGCCCGCATGCAAATGGAGCGCGTTTGTGCGATTTGCATCGCCGGTCCGATGCTGATTAACCGAATATTGATTTCGGGAGCGCAAGCGGGCGGTTAGCTTGGCGGACGGCACACGATCGATGCACCTTCATTCACGCAGCAGCACGCGATGAACAAATGGTACGATTATAGCGGACGAATTTGCGGAAATTTTAAAGCGATGGATGGTCAGGGATCACGACGATTGCGAATCGCGCGCGATTTGATTCCGGAGCGGCGAGAGCGAGTTTAATCGATAGCGCGCCGAACGCACTGCGATGCGAGGCGAGCCGATACCAAATGGGACGTCGTATCGGTCTTAATTAAGTTAAACTGCCCGGAATGTCAAGCCTGACGGGCTGCGTCGATGCGCGAGCGTCGAATCACGCCGAACGAAAAGCGAAATTTATTCCCTCGGGATACCGAATGTGACACCGCATCACGGCATGCAAACTCAACCTTCACACACAAATATTTCAATCCGTTTTGTATACTTTACGCTTTACTTCAAATATTTAAACGAAATTTAGTTTAAAATTTAGTTTGATTAGTCTATCAATTTGTATAGGATGGCTAATTCATCATCGTCATAATGACTGCATCAGTCGGATGTCTCGTCGCTCATCTCGCTATGTTGACGTTGGAAAGTGATCCCTCGACTGGGGTAATTTGACAACGCGACCGCACGGAACAGATCAACAGGTACGATACACACTCGTAAAAGGCGACAAGATTGCTCATTACGAAAAACTGTCGTACTAAACAATCGCAATGACCATCAAGCCATCAAAGCGTTTAATTGTAACTTTCGACGCACTAAAAACTCGTGCGAAAGTTATAAAAGTGATAAAAACAAGTCGTTCCCAAGGGTTATATTCAACATAACCTCACAACAAGCGCTATGTGACATTATGACACTTGAGTTATTTGTTTGAATGAAATTCCCATCTCGCATTTGAATTACGCATGTTATGGAATGTAAACGATAACATGATGGTAATTGTAATTGGGAAAACAATCGACAAACAACAATGCACATCGTGCACAACACATGCCAACACAATGTTACTGACTTGTTCAATTGTAACATATTCCGAGTATACTCAATGTGAAAAATACAAGCCGAGCAATTTTAATACACTAGTCGCGTGTGTTTATAGGTTATGTTGATTTCTTGCTGCGTTCTGCGTTAGAGCATAGAAAGCAATAATGCAGACGAATAATAAATAACATATAATAACTAAGCGTTCACTCGATGTCTGCATTCGTATTCCCGGCATGCAACACGCCCCACAACCCCCCGCGTCGATATAATAAATGCCTGTTCGTTTTCGTGGAGGGTGATACTCTCAACATTCCCTTATTACAATCACACAACAACGCACACAGGATGTTACAAAATTTATTGCAACGAATAAATTATAATATCAACACGAGTTGCATAAAATATTCAAGCTACCATTGCTTACAAATTCAAAATGATTGAAAATTAAATATTTACGCTCGCCAAACAAATGTAATGTATTTTTAACCGAATCCCATTCTATTTTTAACTATTATTTTATGCTGCTTTTTGTATTCGTTCAATTATGAAATAATTTATTTCGCGCGAATAAAAATATTGTTATGTAAATGAAAATATCATTGTTTATTGTTTTGTGCGGCGCCGATTTGTATGCATTTAGCAGGCGTTTTAACCGCATTAAAAACGCGATCGCTACAAAAACCCGTCGATAATTTCAATGCCGCGGCGTGAAGCGCGCAGAGCAAACAGACTAGAATTAATGAATGTTTAATCGTTTAATCGCAATGCGCAATGCAAATTAAATTTTGCCATTTGTTCGCATCGGACATGGCTTCGATTGTTTCGAACGGAATAATGCGTTGGCAACAATTCGACCCGCTTTATCAAATTATATTAATTTTATATTATTGTTATAATAACTTGAAAACTATCATTAATTGGATATTACGTGTGTTAAATGCTAAAATTTTATGCACTAATGCATAAAATATATCCCACTTTT